TATGTGTGTGTGTGCCGTTAAATATTGAAATAAGAATTTATTATCTTATTATTTATTATCTTTTATATTTAAATAATAAATGTATTAAATATTTTTAAATATTTAACAACACACACCTATAAATACGCACGCACACACACACACACACACACACACACACACATATATATATATATATATAATCAATATTTGTCTTCATATTTTTATTGAGATATGTATAGAAATCTGACCACAGATAGTTTTATATACTATTTATACTTTATATGTCACAAAAAAAAAGAAAAGAAAAAAGGAAATTAAATGAGACAATAAAACTACAAGTAGCTGTTTAATAAGGTCATTTAAAATAAAATAAAAAATGATTTAATTTGTTTAAAGTTTTTTGTCTCATTAAAAATAAATAATAAGCCCATTCCATCTTTCTCTGCTGCCTCTATGTACCATAACTACAACATCAAAACAAAATATCAAAATTCATGTAGCGAGCAATTTCATGAACCCAAACCATCATATACCTCAAACAGGAGTATGACATGGGCTGCATTGTCCTTTTGAATCTCACAAATCTCACAGTTTCGTTACTCCATTAAACTCTGTCTGTCTTATGATTGCTAGGACTAAAAAGATATCGTATCCCATTCCAAGATTCTCCTATGCGCAGGCAGGTTCCTTATTTGCCTGCAAGGTAATGTAATAGGCAATTGCTGATATAACCCCCCTCCCAACCAAACAACATGGGCAACCAAAAGCAATCTGACTGCATATCATTGTCTACCTATATTGAGTGTTTCCAGACACATACCTGGTGATGATGGGCAGGCGTCAGAAATTATTAACTATAGAATTGGAGAGATATGCAGAGGTCCTGGCCTTATTTGAACATACATACTTTTGCATTGATGCGCGAGGGAGGGGCTGATGGCGGTGCTTTGGTATGTCACCATCTTGCCGCTCCACGCAGTTAGCAGAGAACAGCTGTTCATTTGAAGCTGCCTGCACCTTTTCTTGACCCCATTTTGTTCTGCGCGGCAGCTGAGACAGAGGAGGAATTAGTTGTATTACTGTCGCCCTGCCGCTGTGTGTGTTTCTGTGATTCCACTTGTATTCTCTCCATTACGGTGGCCCCTCTGTCTGATTAGGCACAACACACTCACTAACATGCCAAATCACTAGTGCGTAGCGCAGCCCAGAGCCCGACTCTGGACATACACACTCACACGTACGCTCACACGCGCTCGAATACACACTTCCAAACCCTACCACCTGTCAGATCACATCCGGAATGAAAAATAGGCTATTGATGTCCATTTATCTTTGATTTGTGCGCCTTTTTCAGTTTTTACAATCCAGAACTTGCAAAACATACATGAAAAGGAATATCATGCATAGATTAGAGACGGAGAGTTTGTCTTGTACTGCGAGATGAAGACAAGAAATGCTCACATGTTTGTTTGACCTCGTTTGTTGTGTATTTTTCTATTGTATTTTCAATTACAAGAAACTACAAGATGTTCCCATTAAAAAAAGGGCGACTTTCACCTCAACCCATGAATAAAATATCTCCAGGGGAAAAAAATCTATTGCCACTCTTTCTTCTATTGACTTGAAATTCAAAAGAGGGAAAATTCTATCAAAATCACCTGCATTTCTTTTACAATATTCATTTAAACAAAGCTTTGGCTAAGTCATATTGATTGTGTTCTGATTTAAAAGTACCTGAGGCAGGGTGTCTCTAATCCGAAGGCTCTTTTAAAAATCACCTGGTCAGACAAATGGGAACTTTTAAAGGAGTATAATGTGTTCTTAAATTATTTTATTGATGGGAAGTGGGATGGCCTCCGCAGGTACCCATACAAATGTTTGGAGCACGCTGTGAAAGGGTCAATTTGTGCTCCATTTTCCATTTCTTCATTATCTGCCTTTAAAGCCGTGCTGAGTAGCTCAATAGGGCTGCAAGAAACTTCCACCCTCGTGCATTTACCACTGCCAGTGTTCGCCTCCCTGTCGATTTTTAAACGCTTTAATCACCAAATCATAATTTGTAGTAAATTGTGGTAGTCGGAAAAACACTTTATAAGGTTTAGATATGCGAAAGTGAAATGTATTATATATTTTAAAAAGGGACAATTAAAAAATAGCTTAACTGCAGCTCGGCTCACTTGAAAGCTAATTTTGCTGTTGCTCATCCCAGATAGACCTAGAATATATATATGTATTACTGACAGTGTTGGGGAGTAACTAGTTACATGTTACATTACGTAATTTAATTACAACATAAATGTAACTGTAACCAGTTACAGTTACTAAGAAAAACTGTGTAATTAAATTACAGTTACTTATGAAAATGTTAAAGATTACAAAGGGGATTACATTTGAATATTTACACACATCCACATACAGATTTAATTGATTTCTTTCCCAAATTGCACCGACTACTCTGAGACATACGGCCCTATAATTTCCGCGATGCGGAAAACACAGACTGGTTCGTAGAATCCAGTCATAAAAACGGAAGTCCTATAGCCTAACGCGGACGGAATATACCACATTTTGGACGAATAAATCAAAAGTAGGTCAGTACACTTGAATCAAAACGCGATATCGACTATTGTCGGTGAATGTTAAG